TCACAGCTGATCTGGAAGGCAGAATAATGGAAACCACCCAATCAGAAGAGCAAAAAGAAAACAACGTTCATAAATTAGAACAGTTTAAGGGATCTTTGGGCAACATCACATGTTCCAACATTCACATTATAGGGATCTCAGAAGGAGAAAAGAGAAAGTGGCTGAAAATGTATTTAATAAAATTATGGCTAAAAACCTTCCAATCCTGAAGCATGAAACAGATATCCAGTACAGGAAGTATAAATAAGGCTTCAAACAGATGAATCCAAACAGAACCATACCAGGCATATAATTAAAATGGCAAAAGTTAAAAATAAAGCACTAACTCTAAAGGCAGCAGGAGAAAAATGAAAAGTCATATACAGGGAAACCACCATAAGGCTATCAGCTGATTTTCCTGTAGAAACTTTAAATATCTCATGCATTCCCTCTGGTCTGCAGAGTGCTGAAGGGGAAGAAATCCTGTAATCCAGGATACTGTGCCCAGCAAGATTATTATTTAGAATAGAAGGAGGGACAAAGAACTTCTAAGACAAGCTAAAACTAGACAAACTCATCAACACTAAACCAACCCTAAAGGAAATGTTAGAGTATTCTCTAAGAGGAAGAGATAAGGCTTGAACAAGAATTAAGTGTCTACAGGAAGGGAAAAATTCCACTAGTAAAGGAAAATATGTATAAAGGGTGAAGATCAATGACTTAAATAAGCTAGTATAAAGATTAAAATACAAAATAACCCCCACAAAATAACTATAATAATCAGTCAAGGTATAAACATGAAGATGTAAAAATATATCAAAAATATAAAATGTAGGGATTAAAACATGTAGCTCTTTTAGAATGCATTTAAAATTAAAATGACTATGAGTTTAAAACAAGTATAGTCATCGGTCAACATATATGCACCCCACAGTAACCACAAATCAAAAAAATACATCAATACACAAAAACTAGACAGACAGGAACAAAAACATACCACTGAAAGAAAATCATCAAACCACAAGAGAAGAAACTAAAAGAAGAAAAGAGCAGAGAAGAACTACAAAAACAACCAGAAAACAAGTAACAAAATGTGTTACATGCCTATAAATAATGACTTTAAATGTCAATTGACTGTATACGCCAATAAAGGAAACAGGGTGGCTGACTGGATTAAAAAAAACAAAAACAAGACCCATCTATATGATGCTTATAAGAGACACTTTCAGAGGTAACAACACACAAGGACTTAAAGTGAGGGAATAGAAAAAGATATTTCATGTAGATAGAAATGACAAGAAAGCTGGGATACCAATTATCAGATCAACTAGACTAAAACAAACCTATAACAAAAGACAAAGAAGGGAATTATAATGATAAAGGGATCAATACAAGAAAAGTCTATAACATTCACTTATACGTATACGTACCTCATGTAGGAGCAAGTAAGTATACAAAACAAAAGACATAAAGGTAGAAATTAACAATAATACAATAATAGCAGGAGACTTTAACACCCAGCTTATATCAGTGGCTAGATCATCCAAAGAAAAAAAATCAATTAGGAATCAGTGGTCTTAAATGACACATTAACTCAACTGGACTTAATACTTCTCTCTATATAGGACATTCCATCCAAAATCATCAGAATACACATTCTATACAAGTCCCACAGAATGTTCTCCAGGATGGATTACATACTAAGCCACAAACAAGTCTCAACAAATTTAAGATGGTAACTATTATATCAAGCATTTTTCTGACCAAATACAACTAGAAATCAATTACAGAAAGAAAAATGGGAAAAAACACAAACACACAGAGACCAATCAACGTACTACTAAAAAGGTCAATGGGCCAACAAAGAAATCAAAGAGGAAATCAGAAAACACCTTGAGACAAATGAGAATAGAAACATTTCTTTCCAAAAATCTATGAAATACAACAAGAGTAATTCTAAGGGGGAAGTTTATAGCAATACAGGCCCACCTCAAGGAAAACGGAAAATCTCGTAAACAACCCAACCTGCTATCTAAAGGAAGGAACTAGAAAAAGAAGACACAAGGCCCAAAGTCAGCAGAAGGAAAGAATAAAAAAGATGAGAGAAGAAATCAATCAAATAGAAACCAAAGACGGTCAATTAAACGAAGAGTTTGTTCTGTGAAAAGGTTTTGAAAAGTAGTAAAATTGTAGTAGGATTCTACCAAACATATAAAGAAGAGCTGATACCTATCCGTTTCAAGCTATTCCAAAAAACTGAAAAGGAGGGAACACTCACAAATTCATTCTATGAGGCCACCATTACCCTGCTGCCAAAACCAAAGACACTGCAGAAGAAAAATCTAAGCCAATATCACTGACAGAGATGCCAAAATTCCTAACCATATATTAGCAAACATATTTAACATACATAAAAAGGATCACACACCATAATCAAGTGAGATTTATTCCAGGGATTTCTTCTTGCCTCATTTTCTCATCCTTTAAGGTTTTACTTGAAGGTCACCTACTTTGTGAAGTCATTTCCTTTTCCTTTCTGTATCCTCCCAGATAGAGCATACTTCCCCTTTCTATGTTCCCACAACAAATAAATCATTCGTGACTCTACCAGGGCGTGACAGGTGGTGGTTAATTGTGTATCCATTTCCCCATTCATCTCCACGATCATCAATATAAATGCAACCACTCATCCTAAAATGCTGCATTTCCCAGAAACTAATAAACCTGGGACCTATCTATCTTCCCATGTAGCCGGGTAGAATATAAAGATGGCTCCCTAAGGCCTTGGACAAACTGATGAAAGGAAAACCCACAGATGGGTATCTATGAGAAGAGGCTGGGCTGTAGCTAAGATTTAGGGATCAAACCCAGAGAGTGAACCATTTTTCACTCTGGGTTTCTGTGACCTGGATAATGCTGGAGGAACATGGGTTCCAAACGGTTCAGCAATCGTTCTGCGCCAGATTAACTAACTGGTCTGAAGGTGCACAAAACCGTTGTCACTGTCGAGGAAGCACGCGGCTCTAAACAAAGCCCAATTCCATTTGCGCTAACCCAGCTTTGTCACTGAACTCCATTCAGCTGTGGGCATGTTTCAAGGACTCTTTTCCAATTGGCGTGAAACATAGTAGCTAACCTGGTGTATTGATTTTCAAGGAAGAAAGAGCTTCAGCTTTGCTGCTTTCAGCAAGTACCCCTTGGCCCTTTGTTGGCTTGTGCGACTCTGCTCTTGTGTTTGTTACTTGTTTTTATTTGAATTTGAAACATCACGGGTATGATTTAAAAGCCAGCATTTTACATCTTAACCTTGATTTTACTTCTTAGCCTTGTAGGATGATGCCACTGTAATAGTCCATTTGGACGCTTAAGTACTGGAAATTTTTCTTATCAAATCGGAATAGAATACCTACAACTGAATAATGGAAACAAAGAAAGAGAATCACAAATACTTCATTTTTTGAGGATGATTTCCAGAATATGATTCAGAGTTTTTAATTTAGCTCCTATAACCAGATCCTCCTCTCCCTCCACAACCTCTTGGAAGCTATGCTATTAATGAATAATTAATTTTTTTAAAGACTTATGTAAAGAAGTCTGCTAGTGCTTTATTCATAAAGAGGTGCAGTGGTGGCAGAGGTGTGTGGCTATTAACCAAATAAGATGATAAGAGTTGTTCCTTTCCTGTAGCAGTATCAGTCTAATTCCCAGAAGTCTTCGGAGAGACTTTAGGAGTTAAGGCAGAATAAACCAATTTAGCCTGCTTGGGTGATTAGCACAGTCAATTAATGAAGCTTTGGAAGATTTTTAACGATTGTTAAGTGCCCTGCTTTACTATGGGCTTAAATAAAACCTGAAAAGTAAATTTCGGTTTCATACTGGTCAAGACTCAAGTCCCTTGTCTATTTCAGAGAGAGCACAGGGATGCTGTTTTTAAATTACAGGGTACTTAGAATACAGGAGGTGCTTAACAACTGGGGGCAGTGGACCCAAGTGTGGATGCGTGGAACTAGGCTTATGTATAAGGGAACAAATGGGTGTTATGGGGTGATGATCTAAACACCTGGTAAGACAGCCTTCCTAAATAGGCGCCCCTGGGTCGATTGGAGATGTGGCAGTCCTCAAGTCTGGTGAATGAACTGCGTGACTTTTCAAGGTTCATCTCTACTCTGTTTCTAGGGAGCACTCTGAATTTATCAGGAGACTAGCTCTCTACAAGGCTACTAAGCAAGCAATTTCTCATGGTTCCCATACCCACAAAGCCCAAGATTAAACAGCCCCACCCCAGCAGACATAAAAATACAATGCGAGAGTTACAGGGAAGCAATATCAAAGGGAAATAAATAGTCAGCATCAACAAAAGAAGAAATAAAGCACAAGGAAATCAAACACTCTAACAAACTCATTTTGCAAAGCATAGAGCAAAACCAGCCGATAACAGAATTTTCATAAGCATTAAACTCACTTCTAAACAACTTAACATAAGGAAGAGCCCAGCATGACAGCGACAAAGAAGACATAGTGTACCCGAGGACCTCGGGCTATCATTACCACACATTCAGAATGGAAGTCCACCTGCCTCTGACCACTGCGAGCAAGTCTCTGAGCCTTGCTCTTCTGGATGATGTCACCAGAAAAGTGAGCAAGTTCATGCCGATGATCACTTCGGGGAAAGGGCAGTTTTACTCAGCAAGTCTGTATGAGTGTGGGAGGGGGCTCATTAAAGCGCTCACCCAGCCATCCTTAAAGGCACTGCGGGCTCTGGTGGCAGGACCGCCGTCGGCCTCTCCGCCCTGCCTCCCCCTTCTCCCCAGCTCTGCAGCCCCCTCACCACCCCGCACCTCACTTTTCATTCCGAGCAGGTCTGCCGGCCACTCAGCACCACCAGTAGCTGCAGTGGGCATCAGAACAGGAGAAGCCTTTTCAGGAACTACAGGGGACCTAGGGGTCAACAGCCTCGGGGAAGGAGGCGGCAAGGGAGAGAAAGAGCAGTGATGATTTCTGCCGCACCGCAGCAGCCTCACCTTGCAGGAGCAGACGGAACACCTGTCTTCTTTCAGAGTCCACACCTGCCCGTTGCGCTTCAGTCCTCCTTCATGGAGACAGTCACCAGAGCAGGAGGGTCCCGAGGGACAGAGGCAGTCGAAGCCCCCTGCCAGGTTGATGCAGGCAGAATCATTCCAACAGGTGTGAGTCCTTAAGGCACATTCATCAATGTCTGCAATAAAGAAAGCATAGAGCC